AACTCTGGTGTTAAACACCCTCAGCAGCGCTTCAGTTGCTGACAGTGGTTATGGGACAGCTTTTCCTTGGTGCTTGTTTTCTTCCTTGTTCTGAGGCCAGTTACCTCTCCCCAGAGAGGCTTCACCCAGGGGCTGGCAAAAGGGCTTTAGTAAAGGTAGAATTATTTCTCTTTACACGTTTAAAGGTTACAGGAGTTACTTGCCTTTCAAAACCAACCAGACGAGGTCCCCTGCCCACGCTCCTAGATGATGGTGCAAGAGCTAAAAGCAGAGCCCCGTTTGTTGGTGCTCTGTGTTGGCACAAGTTTCCCTTTCCCGTAGTAACCCGAGAATATTGCCTTCACATCGATCTTTTTCGAGAGGGTGAGCATCCACATCCCGTTATCAAAATAGAGCAGTTTCCCGCCTCCAATCTCCCCCACTTCATCCCCTTTGTTCCCTGCCTTTTCCAGCTTCACGAACTCCAGCAGATCCAGCCCGGTCTGCACGGCCTCGACGCCGTTGGCGCAGCCGAGGGTGATGTGGGCCCGGCTGCCCTTCGGGAGGTTGTCGGTGGGGAGGATCTTGTCGGCATGGGCAGGATCTTGTCGGCATCCCCAGGCCACAGCAGCAGCTGCTGCTCGCTCAGGTCCACGCGAGCACCCACAGTTTTTGTTGTGATGAACAGGGCCGAGATGGACAAGGTGAAGCCTTTGCCGTATGAAGCCTTCACAGCCTGCGAGAAGAGGGAGACAAGCAGAGCACGGCTTTAGCTGGCTGCAGGCAAGGGATTTACAGCCCTGTGAGTGGGTTTATTGCCCGTGGGCTTGGCTGAGCACAGCAGCTTTGGTGTATTGGGAATACTGCGTGCAAGTAGGAGGTCACGGCCCGAGTCCCTGCTCCATGAGTTTGGATACATCTTGTTCCCTCCCAAATTCCAATATTTAACTTGGGTTTTGAACTACTTTAGGTGGCAGCGTAACTGCCTCAGTTCACCACCCCCCAAACCAGCCTCTTGGAGATGGTGCAGGAGTGGGCTGTTTGGAAACAGTCACCATCGCCCTGTTGCCCAGGCACGTGGATGCAGTCACCGTGCCCGCACTGGGCCTCGGCTCAGGCCGTGTCCCCAGCCCACCCCAAGGCTCCTGGGGCGCGGGGACCCCGGTTACTCACTTCCTGCTGTGCGTACTCCTCGGCCCCAGCTGCCTTCCCGAACTCGGTGTATTTCGTGGTGCAGTGCAGGACCCCGGGCGGCCTCTTCACGAAGTAGCTGGTGAGAGCGATTTTGATTTTGGGGTCTTCGATAGCAGAAGCAACTGCAAATAGAGGTAAATAATGTTAGTATCAAAACCCGATCCCCCTCAAGTCCCATCAAGAGCCCAAGTCCCGGCCCGGCAGAACCTGCCCTTTGTGTTTTATCTTAATGCTGCGAAGGAGCAGATGGGGAACTGAAATCCCTCCTTCCAGCTCACTGACAGCGCATGGAACCAGAAAACAGACACTTCTGCACATCATCATGGCTTGTTCCAACCCTGACGGCGTCAGACTCCCTCAGGGGACAGGCTGTGCCGTCCTTCCCCTTGCTCCCCGACTCTTGGGCCATCCCAAGCCCCTGGTGTTGGTGCCAGACCCTGCTCCCGCAGGCTCAGACCAAACAGGCTTCTTGGGGAAAATGGTTTCATGCGGTTTAACTTACAAAAGCAACTTGGTGAACTATGGGAATGGGTTAGTGTCTTACAGCCTGTCCTTCGTCCTTACTCTAACTAGAAATCCACCTCAGAAGCCGAACAAACGTGTTCCACTTGCCAAGTGTTAACGTTTCGCCAACAGAGTAAGAACGTGGTAAGATCCTTATATACATACAGTATTTACTCTCCTTTTTGAAGGCCTTGAGACTTGCAAGCTCATCTAAGAAGGCCTGGCCAGCCTTCCGCAGGATCTCCGAGCTTCTTTTGCTCAAAAACCACCCGAAATACATGGGTAGGAATTCCTTCTCCAAGCTGGGCTTCATCTTCTTCAGCTCTTCCACTGACAGTTTCCATTGGTTCTTTTCCTTCAGCTGCAAGCAATCCTGTCGCCACGGGGTTTTGGGCTCGGCGAAGATGACTTTGTACCGGTATTTGTCAGCGATATCAAAGAGTTGGTCCAGTCGTTCCCTCTCGTGGTGAGTGTCATCCAAAACGATAACGCTGATGTCTCGTTTGCAATAGTCAACTAGATCCTCATCCACCTTGGAATACTCTTCAGGAATGGCGCTCCTAATGGAAGGTGTGATTTTATAGCTATCGACAGAGATGACCTTGCAGGCATCTTTATACCGGTCTTGGATAGCCTGGGCCAGCGTAGACTTCCCGCTGCCGGGCAGGCCTCGTAGGATAAAGAAGGTTTTGGACTCTTTGAGCGTGGAGATGGTGTCTTCGTCGTCGAGGAAGGGGAAGTGCAAACTTTCGGGTCGTTCTTTGGCTGATTGAGTAGACATTTTCCTAAATATTTTGGGCAGGAATGGGTGACTCTTCTTGGAGAAGCCTCTGTTCTGAAATGCGACAAGGAGAGATGTGGCGGTTACCGACCCCGAGACCCCGCGAGCTCCGTGCTCCCGCGGCACGACACGGGCTGTGTTACCCCCTCAGCTTCACTCCCCGCTCGCAGCAGGAGCCGGGACCTGCCCCAGTGCCTCACCCCGCTCCGGGCTGACCGGGAAGGGGAAGTCTTGCCCGTGGTGCAGCAGAGCTCTGGGGTTCCCCCCACGCCACGAGCTGTGAGCGAAGTTACCTCTGAACGCCCAAACACACACTCGTGGCCTCAAACCTGAGTGTGCTGCCGGGACCTTGCCTCGAGAGCAGGAAACTGAAGTCCCTGCGGGTCGTGGCGGCTGCTGCAGTCCCAGCGCTTCGGCCCAACCAGAGCACTGCCAAGGGAGTCGAGGGCTCCCTGTCTCCGGAGGAGAGGCTGTTCCTGAGCCCGGGGATGCTCTCCCACGTTAAGAGCTGCCCTTTCTCTGCGCTGCAGCCCCCGGGTGCCTCAGAGGAGGGGATTTGGGCTCCTCTTGTGGTGAGGAGCAACTGAAAAT